TTATGCGGTGGGAGGGCAGAGGAAGGGATTACTATAATGTATCCCCTATGTCTTTTCCCAGTATAAACACTCAATGCGGTCGGTGACACGTGCGCAATTACATCATTGCTGGGCCGCAGCCGCACGTCTTGCATGAAGTATAAACAAACCTTTAGTCAGGAGCTTTACTGAGGGTGTGCACGGCTACGTGCTGCAGGCAGTGAGGGGATGGGCGTGATAAGTTCGTTCACGAACATGATTGACACCTGTGAGACAAATCTCTGGGCTTTGATTTGCTCTTTTTCTTCTGAGAGGTAGTTTTGATTAGATGGCTGTAGGACCACTGGGAGGAGCCAGAGGACTTTTGGGTTTGTTTTTTCAGAGATTATCTGTCTAATATCAATCTGTCAGGACATATTGGTGGTTTGAACAAATATGTTAAAAATACATATTTTAGAAAAGTTACTGACTGCAGACGTATGGAAGATGCAAACTCTTTGCCTCAAGAAACATGAAACATGTCAACCTATGTCACCAACTACATTACATTATTTATCAAGGCATATGAAAAAAAACATGTTCCCATCAAATCATATTTAAATTGTCAGCACTGAAATCATTTTCACAAATGTTTCAAACATCTTGAAGGAACAACAGCAGTGGATGTGGGCTGAAATGTTTCACTGTTTTTTTATTGATCATCAATCAATAAAAAAATGAAATGTTTCACTGTCAGAAACTGTTAACTAAAAAGAGAATTATTTATATTATTAATAATTATTCTTTTTCTTTGGAAAAATAAATGATTAAAGATTAGGCCAAAGTAGTAGAGAGGTTCTTTCAAGTTAACTTTACTGCTGTGACTGACTTCAATGTGATACATGGCCATATTGATTTTAGTTTAGTATAAAGTAAAAGTTTAATTCTGTCAATAAAAACACATATTTTATGTTAAATAACTATCAAGTTAAAAATGTAGCAAACTTTGTCTCCTTAAAGTAAAGAGGCCAGAGCCTGGTAAACAATGACACAGAAAATTATGTACACCAAGAACAGATATGTACTTACCAAATCAGTGTACCAAAAGAATAAATAGGATCTGATGATGAAAATAACCTGAATTTATGAGACGTGTTCAGAATCAGGCATTAATCTTTGGTTAGCATGTTTGCTAATAGAGCAGGAAATGGAGTAGAGTTGATCTGGGCATGCCCAGAATGTTAAACCTTTACAATCCAAAATCCCCACCACTTTCCAATGCTTCACTTATTCTGTGGACTCAACTTAAATATTAACTTATCAAGCATTTTTCTATTTAAAAGTTCACATCACTTAATTATGATGAGTGTAAACAACAAGTTGATGAAAATTAAGTTATATTTGGAATTTATTATAAAGCAGAATGCTGCCTTTTACAAATATCAAAATGTGAGGAAAAATTCAGCTACAGAGAAATAACATGAACTTCTCTTTTTTTAAATGATTGTAGATTGTTAATGAGCTCATGAATTGGAAGTTTGGAAGATTCATTTTGTTTATTGGTTTTTATTTGTGATTTAATAAAATGTTTTTATTGGTGTATTTTTCTGTTTTTAACTACCTGTGAAGCATTTCGGTCAACCTTGTTTAGATGTGCATTAGAAATAAAATGGACATTTATGGTAACTAGGGCTGCACGATGTTAGGAAAACCTGTGATGATAACAGTGCTTAAAATTGTGATGATGATATGACTTGCAATAAATTAACAAATACATAAATATGTGGTGTTGATGTCTTTCTGCTCTGGGTTCAAAGACAAAAAACAACCTAAAAAAAACAAACTTGATTTTTTTTTTAATATGAAGAGAACTATCCATCCATCCATCCATTTTCTGTACACACTTATTCCTTTCAGGGTCGCGTGGGTCACTGGTGCCCACATCCAGCAGTCACAGTGCGAGGGGCGGGGTACACGGACTAAATACATGAAGGGCTCCATTTGATTGGTGAAATACTTAAAGATTCCATCTGAACAACAAAACGCATAAATTCTAACTTTTGAGTCAACCATTTATTGCAGTTTATGCAGTTGTTGCGATATGCATATTGCACAGTCTGTTATTGCGATAACAATAAATTTTCAATATATTGTGCAGCCCTAATGGTAACCATGAAAAATGCAAATCTTTGAACAAACTACCTGCTGAACTCTACACAAAACCTTTTACACACGTTTAATAAACTCCAGATCGCAGAGTTTTACTGATGGATCCTCTAAAACTTAGATCCTCTAATCAGATGCTTTTAGTGCAGCCAAAGGCAAAACTAAAGCATAGAGGGGAACAGGATTTTGCTGCAGCGGTCCCCAGACTCTCAATCAATTTGCCTCTTGAGATCCRTACTAGAGAGTCTGTTCAGTCTTTTAAATCTGGCTTAAAATCTCACTTTTTTACACTGGCTTTTAACTCAAATTCAGTTTGAGCTACTGCAGGAATCTTTTATTTGTGTCTTTTATTTTGTTTTCAGCTTTGTATTAGTGTATTGTATTATGTCTGTGAAGCACTTTAGTCAACACTGTTGTTTTTAAATGTGCTATATAAATAAAGTGATGGTGATGATGGAGCACTCACCTCCCTGAGCTGCAGCTCTGTTTTTGATGACCACTGTGGAATAAGTGACCTCTTCCTCCATGTTTGAACCCAACACACACCTGCTGCCGCTTCAGAGAACAAAGTGAGAACAGGTTCAGCACAAGCTGCTGATAAAATCTCTGAGCAATGACACAAAAACATTATTTTAAAGAGAACTAACAGGTTCCCGTTTCTTGTGAAGTTTGGTGAAAACCTCAGACAGAGAAGCCAGACGGTGTTTTTATTTGTTATTGTTATTTTTCAAGTATTTTTGGGAAGATGGGTTCTTCTCACATTATTTGTTCTAGAGTTCATCACAATGCCCTGTGCTGGACTTGTGACATGTCCAGGGTGTACCCCGCCCCTCAGTGACTGATGGATATGGGCACCAGTGACCCCTRTGACCCTGAAAGGAAGAAGCAGGTAACTTAGATAATGGATGATTTGATCACAATATTCCAGTTTTTGGTTTATTTGTTTGTTTTGATCTGTTTTAAATTATGAATATTATTTTGTGTTATGTAAAATATTATTTGACTTAAAATAAACACAAGGTTCTGACTAAGGCATCAAAACCCCACAGAGGACTGATGAATAAAAAGATAAAGAACACATGATACTGGTGTAATGAGGAGAACAAATGTTTTCAGAGGAAGAAGTGAASTCAGTTCCTTTCATACCTGGAATCAAGGAGGAAGTTGAAGTTTTCAGGTGAGCAGATGAACTTTTCACACGTCTAAACAATTTAAAACATCTAAACAGGAACTATTTTTACAGATGAAGAAAAATGAACTCAAAWATCCAGATTCAGGAACAGATTCATAATAACTGAGATAACTGAGTTTCTAACTGCCTGAAATGTTTATCAGTGGTCACACTAAACATGACATAATGTCTTCACCAGTCCATTCCTTCTGGTTATGACACAAACACAGACTCCTCTGCTGTTATTAGCAGCCCACAGGTGAGAWGGTGAACCTGTGAGACYAATGAGTTCASTAGTTTAGTCTGGAGAACRAAAAGGATGTTTTCAGGATTACTGAGTGCTTTGAGTTTGGACCCAAGAATTCAGGTTTGCACGAGGACTCAAATAGAAACAATCAAATAATGGAAAAACAAAAGTCAGGTGTTTTAACCAACAAAAGTCTAAACGTTTCATAATTTCAACAAGATTTATTTGTGCTGACAGAGAAACATCTTCAGTCAAACGTTGTGGATTATTTTCTAATGATTAAAAATGTAATTGTCAAAACCAGTTCAGTGAGTAAATAAAAACAGAATTATTGAAATGAAACAAAGAAAAC